ATTTGATATTCTTTGCTATGGGAGCATTTTCCAATGTTTGTGTAGAGTTTTGTGTCTGTACCTAGATTTGTGTGTGTGCAGTAGGATTTGACTACTGTATGTGTAAGGAGATTTGTCTGTCTGTAAAAGTGTCTGCAAATGTGTGAAATAACTTGTGTGTAATTGATTTTCAAATTTGTAAAGTTTCCACAAATGTGTACTAAGATCTACAAATGTTTAAATCAGTCTGTAAACACAGAGTCACTTAAGTCTGACGAATTTTTGCTTCAACACCCAGAAACATAGACAAATCATCGTTTACAAGTCAAGCAGTTTCTCGGTTGGCTCTCTTTACACACCTGATTATTGCTACACTTCTGTCGTGTGAGATCTGCAAATGCGTAGAGAGGATTCGTATGTGTAATAGCTTGATTTTCACATTTTCTGCTCCTGAATCAGATCGACTGTGAGATACTGTAGGCGCTGCTAACTCTGCGGAGTTTGAATATCCGGATTCAAACTAACATCCCTGCAGCCATTCACCACATATTTCTGAAGCAGCTTTTGGGATAACAAAGTTATTGTTTGCCGCACATCCCATATTGCTGAGTTTTTTCTATGTTGTAACATTTTCAAACAACTTTTTCAAGAAGAGCCAGCACCATTGTAGCCGCCCTAAATACTGAAGGCACCTGTTATGTAGCTCAGTGACAGCACTAGGGGGTTATTTCGTAATTCAGATATCAAAATATATAGTTTTGACAAATCAAAATTAACTTTTAGATATATTAATTATAATTTTAGATTTGTGAAACTTCAAATGATAAATCAGGCAATGCTATTTGAGATATCTCAAAAGGCATTTTGATTCTCCAAAATGTGATTGATTGATATCTTGAATTTTTATTTTCACTAGTCATAATATCATTTCAGATATCTTAAATATCATTCACTTTTTCTTTGATATCTTAGAAGTAATTACAATGGTCAGAAAACCTGATTCTATGATAAACGAATCCTGTCAAGGCTCAGAACCAAGGACCCAGTTTTCGAGGTAGACAGACTCTGATATTTCAAAAACGGTTATTAAAAAACAAATTTGCAGTGAAAAGCCAGGGCGTCTAAGACAGAAACACAGGTTAGTGACCATATCAATCTGGTGGAGGATGATAATAAATCTGTGAGTCACTAACCTAGTCTTAAAGTTCAGACGAGGTTGTTTCCAGCCGGTTGGCTGCCAACAAGATGTGGTGCATGCTGCCCAGAGTGTCCCAGAAGCTGAAGTCTGTGAGGTTGGAAGACAGGCAGGAGATCAGGACTGAGCAGACAGATTAGAACAGGGAAAGGCTGTTTCAGAGGTCCAAAGGCATGTCAGGATCCGGCAATCAGTAAAACTAAGGTACGCTAGAGATACTCTCACCAAAGGCTCAGGAATAATCCGGCACTGATAATTCTGGTTTGACTGGTTTGAGGGCTGGTTAAATACAGGCTGAAGCAGATGGATCAGATGAACGATAATGAGAAGCTGAGCGGAGCTAGCAGGTGAATGAAATTAATAATTAGTACAGTCATCAGTGTAAAGATCATCACATAGATACTCCTAAGGCAGGGGTCAATACATAATCTAATTTAGGGCATCATTTATTGCTCTTTAAAGTAAGTTTGAAGTTGCAATGTTCAAAATTCCTATAGGTTACAGATGTATGAAAAAGTTGGTATGGTACTGTACGCACTGATGCAACCTACTATTTCCTGTATGTTACGTTGTACTAAAAAGCTCCTGCAATTTTCTATTCCGTTCCTTCCTCGCGTTTGCATAAAAACATACTTTATATCTTAGAAAGAAAAAAAAAAGCCCAAAACCTAAAAAACGTGGTAAAAATTTGCTACATCTCAGAAAGAACAGAAAGTGGTTTCCAGATAATTCATTGTGAGGACTATGTGGAATTAGTTGCAAGCTCTTTTGTAAGATTCAGGCTAAATTCTTTGTTTCGACCTTGTTCTTAAATTTCAATGAATTGCAGCGCCTCTTTTCTTTTGGGGATCAAGGAGAAATGGTCATGCAGCTGCAAAAATGGGCCCACAGCATCTCAGTTCAAGGACTTGTTTTAGGAGGGACACATTATCCTTGTAGAAAGGAAAAGGAAGCCAAGTTTTTTTATGCTCTTACTTGCTCTATGTTTTGGCTATATTTTGTGTTTTATATTGCTGCGATTGTATTTTATTGATGGATTTTTGTTAAACATATTTTTTTCAGTGAGTAACTGAAATTAAAATGACCTCTCTCTTTGTGAGACTTCAACCTTTCAAGATGATTTTCTAAGACAACCATATGGAGAGAATAAAGGTTGGTGGTATGAGTGTTTCTGGGCTTCCTTTTCTCTTATGCACACTATGTATGCCCAACATATGCTGCCCTTTTCTGCGCAGCATTTGGCAGCAATGACAGCAGACTAGAACAGCTTGCAGCTTATAGAAACTCCCCTACATGTGGTGTGCGTGTTGAATGTGATGAATTGGATCAGCTGAGTAAATAGTAATGTAGTTCATCATTTAGATCAGCTGGTGAACTGACATATGGTCTGAACGTGACTTTATGGCTTGCCTGTATAACAGCACTTAAAAAGTTTCCAAAAAAGATTGTTTTCCACCCATAAAGAAAAATGATTTTAAAGTGAAACTCATATACTAGCCTGTCATCTGCAATGCATGTGTGATATATATTTATATTTTGTCACCTGGTCACAGTTTTACACAAGGATTTTGGAAATATCAGTGCATTTCCAAGTTTACTCTAATACATATATATTCAACAGTTAATTAGACCTGGAGAATAAGAAAAACTGAATATGCAAAACTTATGGTGAATGTCACAATGATGATATGACTTGTGATTAAAAAAGAAATACTAAACTGATTATTTTAGCTCTTAAAACAGTGTAGCAATTATATTAATAATAAGAAAGATGGAGGGCAAGGGGGAACATGCTTGCCTTGCAGATAAAATGCTCTGAGTTCTGATCCTGGCCTGGGGTCTTCCTGCTTTGAGTCTGCATGTTGTCTGTGAATACTCCAGCTTCCTCCCACAGTCTGAAAATATGCATGTTAGATTAAATGGCCTTTCTGTTTTTTAAGTGAGTAGAAAGTGTGTGGTATATGGTTTTGAGTACTACACTGCCCTGGCATGTCCTGGTAATCTGTCCAGGTTCTACTCCGCCTTTAGCCCCATTCCCTGCGGACTCTCCATGTATAACTACATAAAAGAATAAAGGCTTAACTGAACCCTTTTAAAACAATTACTGCTGCTCTGACAAAACCCCATCACCAACCATTGCCAGAGAGCATGTATGTATGAACCAAACAAGCGAATACTGCAGTCAAACCTCTGCAATATTTATGCAAATGATATTGGAATAACAATAATTCTTTAAAAATTAATATCTCTTCCTGACCTTCCATCTTTTCTGGCTTGGGAGGCTCCACTTGTACCATTTGCATGTGCATGAATGGCTAAAATCTCTCTACAGAGACTCAGCAATGGCAGGTGCAGAGCCCCCACGAAACATGCTATTTATATGAAATATGCTTTATCTAATTGCTGGTAAGCACTTCAAATAGATTAAATCGAATGAAAAACCGCAATACATATTTTATAGCGTGTCACATTGAATCCCTTTTTACAACAGATGCGCTTTGAGAGTTTTTTCCCTTGCATGTTTAAGTTAAACTGCTCAACCAATGTGCACCAATGATGATCGGGATATTCATCCCATCATCCCTGTTACTAAATTTATTTAAACGTTTCCAACGTTTGCATCTGCCAGCGTTGAGTCAAACACTTATTAAATCTGAGGCCCATACAGAGACGTACTGTATGCTCAGTACATTTGTGCCAGTGTAATCCTTGTTAGTAAACCCTGCTAACAAGAGTCTAAGCTTTGTGTGACATTACTGTTTACACTGATACCACTCTTTCAGCCTTTTGCCGCCTGTTGTTTACTGGATCTGCTGCCGACAGGCTGACACAGCTGGCGGCTAATATCGTCATACTTGAGAAGACAGGCATGCTCATTCCTCACAAGAGATCATTTCACATCTCTATCTTTGCTTCTTTGAGCCTTGATTAGGAGAAGATTAATATATTTTATAACCAGCTGGTAGACTCATTGGAGTTCACAGAGTGTGAAGGTGACCATTAAATATCCTTCTGGGTGTCAGGTGTTACTGCCTAATTGGTTTATCGGCTTTATTAATTTTAAACAGAGTGTAGAGGTGGCAGTTATTGAACAACAGAAGACCACTAGATGAGCTACTATGAATAAGTAGCCTGTAAAACTATTGTGTCTAAATAGTAACAGCTTTATTCATGGCTGTGCAGTCACTACTGCTAAAGTGGTTTATTGCTTTAGCAGCTATTAAATCAGTCTTACCGTAGCAGCCTTGTAAATTAATCTCACCTTTTATTCTTGGGGATCAATTATTTGGTACCAAAGACCAATGTTTATATTTTACATTGGAAACTTGATGTCATTTCATGTTTCACTGATGAACACAAACCTTAATGTAAGATGAATTTGGTTTGCTTTTACTGATACCCTATTGCAGCACGAACATGAGGAAAAATGGTAAGATGAAAGCATGATTCTATACTGCATGACAGTTTTAAAAAGGCTGTCATGTTGTACAATTGTATTTTCTATGCCTTTTAATGTTTTTTTGGGGAACAGAACTAAGGTGATATTAGATACGTCTCTGCAAAATGAAGTTCAAATTATTACATATCAAATCCCAGGTCTCTGGTTTGATGGTTTAGTCAGTGTTTATGTAAAATACTTCTTGAAGAAGTTAGAATGAAAACCCATGTGCGTCTTTTTTTGATTAATTTTAACATGGGGAAAAGGGTTGATCAGAATGTTTTTGTCTTCTCACACATTTTGCCTCAAAAGTACAGATAGTTTTGTAAGAAAATATAGAAATAATTCAGACTTGCAAACACCTGAAGATTTGTTTTCTATCCACAGGGACAAAAAGGCTTTTCTGGTCCTTCTGGTCTCCCAGGAGAACCTGTGAGTATTTTCCTTCCTTAAAATTAAGCTTTCATTAAATTTGTGCTTAAATTAAATCAAAGGATACTTCAGCAAATTATTACTTTAAAGGTGTGTATGCAAAAGGGTAATTGTAGCAGTTTTATTTCTTCATTTTCATGATATTTCATCACAATAATGCATTGTATTTGTTATATTAGATGTTTAAAGGGTTACAAATATAGCTACATGCATATGCAATGTAAAAGCAACCACTAGTGTAGAGGAAAATATGTCAACAGATAAACTTTTAGATGCTATTTGTCCATCAGTAGTTTCCAAAAAAAGTTGTGACATAAATATGACAGTTTTTATGAAACAAAGCTGAGTTATTTATAAAAAACAAAATAAAAAAGATATAAATAACAAAACGATATGCAGGTCTGAAGAAGAGATCAGTTAAAAAAAAAAAAAAAATCCGACATGGTGTGTGCAGATAGTTGCCAGAAGACATTTTTGGCTGAAGAACAAGTAGGTTAAATAGTTTAAACATCAAGGATCATTCCTCCTTCACATCCTCCTCCTCCTCTTCCTCTTACTATTTTCTGAGTCCAAACTGAGTCTAATCTTTCTTTTCAGGAATGTTCTGTATCGTAACCAAAACTTGAACAAATCTCCCTTTTTTTTTTTTTTCAGCTAAAGGATTTATTTAAGTTTAAGTCAGTGTGCCAAAGCTTCTAAAAATCAGAGTTCCTCTTTGAAATAACTCCATGTGCCTTTATTGGCAGTTCCAAATCCTTTTATGTGCTTTATTATCAATAAACTAATTCACTACCCTCAGATGTTGATTGGTGGAGAATAAATGATGTGTATAAGAGTCTAGACGGTGTGAAAGGTTGCTGGGTGTGGAGGTAGACAGTGAGGCAAGAACTT